AGCAAAATGATCTTAATTATACATGTGAAACCATATAAAACATATTTCCATGTTAGCCATATCACACACAAAAAAGCAAAAATAATAAAATTTTGCTTCAATTTACACTCAGAATTCATGAGTTTTGGAGGTGGATAGCTTTTTTTATTACGAGTCCTTTGGAACTATCTTGGATCATTGTATTAATAAGTAGCCAAGTCTTTCACAAATGACCATCATTACAACATTGATATTGATATGTACAATGATCTCCCAGTTCTTCTCACTTTACTTTGCATCAGTTGACATTTTTTCCCATGAAAACCATCCCCTTTTCATTTTTATAGCACAATTATACTCCATCAGAAATTATATGCCACAACTTGCTAGCCATTCTCCAATTGTTAAGTATCTCCTTGATTTCCAGTTCTTCATCAGCACAAAAAAAGGAGTTGCTATAAATATTTTTATACATATAGGTTCTTTTCCTTTTTTCATTAATGTCTTTGGGGTACAGACCTAGTAGTGGTATTGCTAGGTCAAAGGGTAGGCATAGTTTTATCCTCTGTTGGGCATAGTTCCAAATTCTTCTCCAGAATGGTTGGTGCAGTTCAAAATTCCACCAACAGTTCATTGGTGAACCTATTTTCCCTCGTCCCCTCTAGAATGTCATTTCTGATGGGTGTAAAGTGATACCAGAGTTTTTTTTAATTTGTGTTTCTCTAATCAATAGATAACTATTGACTAAATTTTGAAGTTCAATTTTGTCATGTCCATTGTGAAAATAACCTTACAAGAAATGCTACACTGTAGGTCTACCAGTCTTTTCATCTAAGGGCTAATCTAAAATGAATCAGTATTATCTACTGTATGTGATTCTTCATTTTAAATCAAATATTTTAAATGGATAAACTCTTAGAGATGTGAATCCCTTGAAAGGAAAACTATACTAAGATAGTTGACCCAATGACTCTGGAGGAGAGTGAGGTTGATGACTTTGCTCAGCTCTGCCTCACTTAAATCCAATTCATGAGCAAGTCAAGACATCACCCTTGTGATGTCACTGGTCCTCTTTGAGAAGGAAGGACAAAGGGAGCTAGGTGGTACAGTGGATAGAGTACTGACCCTGGAGTCAGAAGGATCTGAGTTCAAATCTTACCTTAGACACATAACACTCACTAGCTGTGCAACTCTGTGCAAATCACTTAACCCCAATTGCCTCACCTAAAAAGAGAGAGAGAGAGAGAGAGAGAGAGAGAGAGAGAGAGAGAGAGAGAGAGAGAGAGAGAGAGAATGAAGGACAAAAAACAATAGCAGCAACAACAACAACAACAACAACCATGTTACTGCTGTCCTCAGGAAATTCTAGTAGCGCTCTCTTCCTTCTTGAATAAAATATAAATCCCTGTTTGGTTGTTAGAGCCCTTCATAAGCTAAATGTAATCTACTTTTCCAGACTCCTTATCCATTACTTTCCTTTACATACTATGCATTCCAGTCAAGTTAAACCTACTTTCTGGTACTCACCCAAGTCACCACATCTACCACCACCATGTCTTTGTATAGGCTGAACCTAATGCCGGGAATGTGATCCCTCTTACCTCAGTCTCTTACAGTCTCACCTTCTTTTTAAGGCTTAGCTCAAGTTTATCACCTCATACTTGAGGCTGGTCCCAATTAATGCAAATAATGAATCCACCTGGAGGCAGCTAGTGGCATTGTGGATAGAGTGCTGGGCCTGGAGTCAGGAGTTCAAATCCAATCTCAGACACTTACTATGTGACTAGTGACAAATACTAGCTATGTGACCCTGGGCAAGTCATTTACCCTTTGCCTGCCTCAGTTTCCTCACAATAAAGTGAGAATGATAATAGAATCTACCTTCCAGGGTTATTTTAAGGATCAAATGAAATACTATTTGTAAAGCACCTAGTAAGGTGTCAGGCACATAGTAAGTGCTCTACAATTACTTGCTTCTTTCCTTATCTGGAATGGTCATGTTATTCGAATTTGAAATGCACTTTCCATTGGGCTAGAACCAATTACAATATTTTACATAATTATAATTTCAAATGGTGTGAATTCAAATTTATTCAATCACTTAAAGGGTTTCACTATTTGCTCAAGTCAGGTCCTACCTGTGATCCTAATCCGTCCCACGCTAAAAATTAATTTGTATTTACTTTACACGTATTTTATATTTATCTATAGGTGTACATATTGTTTCTCCTATTAGACTGTAAGCTCTTTGAAGGGAGGCAATATTGTATTTATGTCTTCTTATGCTCATTACCTAGCATAGGGCCTGGTATATGGTAGATATTAACAAATGATTGTTTTTTGATTGATTGAGTTGTTGGAAGACAAAAGCTTGAAAATCTACTACCATTTTCATTACTTATTGATTTATGATTAAAAGTCAAAGTCCTGTGAGTGACCTTGGTGCTCACTATGTTCAAATGTTATTTCTTTTCTCAGCTTCCTGCTTCTGGACTTGTTCCTTTCTCCCTGGAGACAAGTGGTGGTGGTAGCATTTAAAAGACATTTTGTCCGAAAAAATACAATCATGGCTTGCCTAGAGCAGAAATTACGTGTGCTCCTGCTTTTCTTTGTAAATAATTGAATTTGTCTCTTAAGTTCAAGCAGTTCAAGATTCCTTTTTACGTGTGGAGCTGACGGGTTCTGTTTTCTTCACATATGCACCAGACTGTAATCTAAGGCAGAAGAAATAGTGTGCGATTGAAATTTTGGTGAACAGGAAGAATGATAGAGGAGATTGACATGTCTTCCTTAGAAAAGTTATTTTTAAACATAGAGAATGACTGTTCTCATGCTGAAAAGTCCTTTAGAAAATACTACTGGGATTGAAAAGTCGGTGGGTGAAATTCCCATCACCTGGGATGCTTGCGAATATGAGTTGTTGGTGCCATCTGCTGCTTGCAAACAGCTACTGAGGAGCTGCCATTGGAATTAGGAAGAGGTAGGAAGACAAGGCATGTACAGGAGTTTGAGAAACTGGGTCTACTGAAGAAGCCCCAGAGGCAATATCCCATCATTCCAAGCTGTGGGCATTTCTAGGGACAGCAAATTACTGCCATTTTCTGCTTCACTCAACCCACACCTCTCTCCTTCACCAAGGAGAAGCTGCCCCCAGTCTTTGCTTATAAATTACTGAGCAACTGTGTTTGATAGTCTAATGCTGATTAGAAACAAGGCTTGCTTTTTCTTTTTCTTTTTTTTAATGAAAAGTGAGTCTCGGGATCTTGGAATAGAAACTTGGATTTTTCCTTTTACTGGATTTTTGAGAATGTGTTTTAAAGAACACAGAATCATAGATTTAGACTTGGAAGGGACATTAGAGGTCATTGAACCCAATCCTCTCATTTTACAGATTAGGAAACTGAGGCTTAAAGAAGTTAAATGACTTCTCTAGGGTCACTTATCCACTAGGTCTTCTTGACTCTGAGTCCAGAACTCAGCCCTCCTACTCCATACTGATTCTCTGTAAAGACTAGGATATCTTTTCACACTTCAAGGACTGGGTAGCAAGGGAAGTAGAAAATACTGATAAGACTTAGATCTTGGTAGCTTTCTGTTTCTGTGGGTTGATCAAAAGCTGAAAAACCATATAAGTAGCTCCCATTTATATAGCATTATGAGGTTTATAAATAGAATCTGGAGTTACTTTCTAAGACTATACATCGCAAAGTTTCAGAGCAAGTGCCGATCTGCCTTGGCAGGAGTTGGACTGTTGTTTTGTTGTTGCTGTTTTTTGCTTTGTTTTGTTTGTTTTTTAGGTTTCAAAAATTCAATTTATTCCAATGTGAAATGAGGATGTGATGGTTTAAATACAAGAAAACCAAGTTCTTGATCAGCTCGTGGGGACACACACTCACACTCTCACGTTTGTTCTCTACATGTGGATTTTTGAAACAAGGTGGTTGGATAAACTGGACACGTTAAGACCCGTGGCCCTAGGGCTTCAAGTGAAGGGGAGAAGGTGGCATTTCACATGCTAGACCACCCTCTTAACATACACAGCCAGCGTACAGATCATTTTTCCTTGCGCTCTTTAATAGGTCGACGGGCGGGAGGCGGGCAAATAGCCCATGAAGGAAAAACAGAGGGTGGTACTTGAGACTAGATAAATCACAAGCCTTTCCTAGGGGGGGGAAAAACTACTCAAAAGTGTGACTTCATTAAAATATCTGATCCTTTCAGGTAGATTTGGGAAATAAATATGATTCTGTCAAAACCAGCCCAGCTTTTTATTTTTAAAGCAGGTGCAAGATTTTATTTGGAAAGGTTGTTTGAACAGTAAATGGAGAAAAATTTTACTCTGCTTACCTTGTACCCAGGCTTTTATCCCACTTGGAAAACTTAATAGAACTGTTATGAACTGTCAAATTTTATCATTATTATTATTACTTATGATAATAATGATAATCTTAAGAGTTATACAAATACTAACAAACAAACCAAGTGCACAGTAAATTGCCAATAAAAGCTAACATTTGAATTATTTATTTTTATTTAAAATAAATATTATAGCCAGTATTTTATACTCTATAAAAAGGAGAGACTGACTTAGCCTAGACGGGCTGTTCCATGGAACACATTCAGAACTGACATTGCTGGTTCTGATGGTTAATACTAGGCATGCCCCATATAATGGTCCCTATAGGCTAAGTCCATCCAGTATTCAAATGGACCCATGATTTCATCAGTGCAAGTATTCCTTCCATGGTATGCATTGTAAACTATGTATCTACTCTCTCTCAACATGTGAGATTCAGGCACATGTTCTGCCGACTCTTTTACATTTTGTGGGCACGAGTACTATGATCCCTCATTTCTGTACAACCAGCATGCCTCCTTTTCTGATCATACATTTCCTGCATGATATCTTCTGTGATACTTCTTTCATGCCAGTCATTATTGCTAATATGTTGCCACTTACTAATGCCCAGTATGCATCTGCCATTGTCCTTTGGGCCACTCACAATTTTGACTTTTTCCAGGTTTGTATTCCATGATCTGCCACCATGTGAGAGTTATATTTGAGAGTGGCTTTGGAGCATCAAAAGAAAAATGTGCTCATCAGTTGGGGAATGTGCAGAGGTGTCAAACACGTGGCCTCCAGGGCGTATGCAGCCCATAATACTCCTGAGAACGACCTGAACCAGTTTAGAATGTAATTGAGAGATATTTAACAAAATAAATAATAATGTGAGACATAGACAATATTACATTTTAAAATTAAGTCAATATGTGGCCTATGTAGTGGTTTCCATTTCTAATTGAGCTTGATGCTAGTGCCATAGTGCTCTAAGCAACCAATAGGGTCATTTCAAAGAAATTTGAAGACTTGTACGAACTGATGAAGAGTGAAGTGAACAACTTATTCTATAACATGAACACTGTAAAAACGAACAGTTTTGAAAGACTTAAGGACTGTGATCACCACAACGAGAAATACTACCCACCTTCTGAAAGAGAAGTGATGAACTAATATGTAAAATGAGACATACATTTTTGGACATGACCAATATGGGGATTTGTTTTGCTTGATGGCCAGCTTATTTTTTTTGTTTTCTTTTTATTTTTTTTTCAATTGGGTTTGGGGAGGAGAAAAAAATCAATCCTTGGTAGTTAAAAAAAAGAAATTAATTTTAAAAAATAAAGTAGGAAAAGTCTTGAATTGGTAGTCACAAAATCATAGAATTTTAGAAATAGAAGAGTCCTTAGGGTTTCTCAGCTGTGCAAAGGTATCCATGACACAGCAAAGGATAAGAACTCCTGATCTAGTCCCTCCTGTCTGTTTTACAGACGAACAAGCCCAAAGACGACTTGCCCAAGGACACACAGGGTAGCTAGGTGGGTGGTACAGTGGATAGAGCCTCAGGACTGGAGTCAGGAAGAATCATATTCCTGAGTTTAAATGTGGCTTCAGACACTTACTAGCTGTGTGACTCTGAGCAAGTTACTTAACTGTTTGCCTCAGTTTCCTCATCTTTAAAATGAGCTAGAGAAGGAAATGGCAAACCCCTCCAGTGTCTTTACCAAGAAAACCCCAAATGGAGTCACCAAATACAATTGAACAACAACAAAAGGCACATAGCTAGTAAATCACAGAAACTCCAATACTGATCCAAGGTAAATTCATTCTCTTTTCTGCCTTTAGGAGAGCTGACCCTATTCTCTGTGCCATTGGGGAAGTCACTTCATTTTTCTGAGCCTCAGTGTTTTCATCTTTATAATAGCTGAATGGACTAGGTGATTCCTAACGTCCCATCAAAAGCTAACATTCTACATGTCTACGTATGATTTGTGTCTACAAGGAAATCCTTCTGTGGCAATACAAGTAGCCACAGAGTAAAGAAGAACTTGGTTGAGTGTAATGTTTGCATACCTGCTATTACCCTTTGGGGGCCATATGATGGAGACTTCATGCCATCCTTTCAGTCCTAGCTGGTACTGCAGTCCCTACACATAAGATGAATACCTTCAGAGATGGGTGAAAATAATGTAGTATCAAGGGGAAAACTAGCAAAATTCAATCTGAAAGAATTCTTCCCATAAGATGAGAACTTCTATCAAATATGCCACGTCCAAATCTATGAAAAGGTAGTAGAAAAAGTGCTGCCTTTGGAATCAGGACCTGAGTTTAAAGCTTAACTCAGAACTTTCTACCTATATTATCATAGACCCTTAACCTCTCAGATTTTGTTTCTCCATCTTTATAAGGAGTATCATAAATTCACAGAGTTGTAGTGAGGGAAACATTTTTCAAACCTTTGTGTTTTGTCTAAATAAAGGCAGCTATGAATTCATCAGAATAAGGATTTCTAGGCAAGAAAACCAACAATTTCCAGTGTGGACTGGCAAATGTCCTGAATGTTAACAGATCGACAAAATTGCTTGGGGGTTCTGAGAAGGGTCATCCCTATGTCAACATCAGTCAGAAGAAGGAACTGAACCCAGGTCTTCCTAACTCTGAAGCCATCTCTCTGACCACTCTGCTATCCTGTCTTGTTTTATATACTGATACATTTATAAATATGAATTGCTATTATTTTTTGGTCCAGAGTTGTGATTTTTCAATAGTGGGAACTCTGGATGAGGCAATTTCTCATATTGGAAGGCTAGCACAAATGTATATATAATTCAATGCAATTGAACAGTAGTTATTGACTGCCTTGCCCTACATCAGGCACCGTGGTTGGTTCTGGGAACAAAAGTGAAAGTCACTGCTTTCAAGGAGATTATATTCCACCGGATATATGTGGGAGGAAAGGCTATAGTAATTCTTTCCTTCTACAGATGATTGGTTCTGTTTACCTTCAACTGGGTTGAATTGACATAAGCTCTGTATGGAAAAATTTTAGTTATGCAGCTGCAAAGACTGCAGATTTACTTTACGTTGTGTAATTCAGGAAGATTGTTTTCTGTAGAGTTTCCTTTGGTTTGTAATTTGGTAGCACAGCTAACAAATCGGCCAGATGACTTGTTAATGAAAGTATTATTGCAGATAGTCTCTAAAAAGAGACTAATGAATTATAGCTCAATAACCAGATGCCCATACTTGTAGCTCAGAGAGTTGTTATTACTAAAATTATTCTCCTGGATTTTGAAGAGCCTAAATTTAGAGAGGGCATCTGGGTGGCACAGTGCATAGAGTGCCAGGCCTGGAGTCAGGAAGATTCATCTTCCTGAATTCAAATCTGGGTTCAGACACCTACTAACTATATGACCCTGGGCAAGTCACTTAACCCTGTTTGCCTCAGTTTCCTTGTCTATAAAACGAGCTGGAGAAGGAAATGGCAAATCACTCCAGTGTCTTTGCCAAGAAAATCCCAAATGAAGTCACAAAGTCTCAGGCACCACTAAAAAAATGACTGAAATATTTAAGACAGTTCTAAATCACTTGATAATTATTCTAATGTTTCTTTTTGAAATCGGAGGCAATTTTATCTTAAGTCACACAATGACAGAATTTGAGAAGAGCAAAGGACTTGAACATCCATTTAATCCAACCCACACAGCATAGGGACCTTCATTATCGCATTCCCAAGCAGTTTTCCAGCCTTTGCTTAAAGACCAGCAGTGTCTCAAGGCAGCCAATTCCACTTTGGTACAACTCTAGTCATTAGGAAGTTTTTTCCTGACATCGAGATCCATTTCTCCATGTTCTGCTCCAGAGGGCCAAAGAGAATGTCTTATCCTTCTTCTGTATCATGATCCTTCAAATGACTGAAGAAACTTATTGTAACATTCCCTTCACCACCTTCTCCACCCCCTCAATTCCAACCCCTCCACCCTCTCTTCTTCTGTTCTCTAGCCTAAATATGGCCAAATGTTCTAAAAAAAATGTTTTTCAATTTTTTCTCTCCTTCCTTCTCCCATTGGGGGAAAATAAGGGGAAAAAACTTGTAATAAATTCTCATAGTCAAAGCAAATTTCCACATTAGCCATGTTAAAAAAAAACCAGCACAACTACATCTCATTCTGCATCTTGAATTCATCACCTCACTGACAGGGAAGGTGAAACATAACAAGCATTTATTAAATGGCTACCTTGTGCCAGGCATTGTGCTGTGTTTTATGGATATTACCTCATTTGATCCTTCCCTTATGCCAACCCTGGGAAGTAGGTGTTATCATAATCCCTTTTTACAGCTGAGGAAACTGAAGCAGACATGGGTTAAGTAACTAGTACCTGTCTGTGGTTGGATTTGAACTCAGGTCTTCCTAACTCCAGGTTTCTCTTTCTATCCACTGCACCACCTCACTGCCTGACAGGTGTGTAGATAGCATGCTTTGTCATCAGTCTCGGTCATTGCATTTATCAGACAGTTTCAGAGAAACCTGGTAAGACTGGAATAGATAGATGTGAAGTGAAGGAAGCAGAACTAGGAGAACAGTGTACAAGGACTTTGTAAAGACAAATGACTAGTGTTCGTATGACATGGATTCAAGACTCTTTCACATCCTGGTTTTCTTCCTAGCGGTATTGCTCAGCTTGCCAATGTCTTCTTTAAGCCATAACCCCCAGAACTGAACACAAAACTCCGGATGAGATCTGATGAAGGCAGAGCACAATCTCTTTCAAGCTTGTGGTCACTGTTGTTATTGTTGTTGTTGTTGAGTCATGTCTGACTCTTTGTGACCCCCTTTGAGGTTTTCTTGTCATAGATACAGGAGTGGTTTGCCCTTTCCTTCTCAACTGAGGCAAACAGGGTTAAGTGACTTGCCCAGAGTCACACAACTAATAAATGCAAGAGGCTGCATTTGAACTCAGGTCTTCCTGACTCTTTCTCCAATGTGCTACCTAGCCGCCTACTTTATCACTCTTATTTCCCCATATTTTTCTGCTGTCCACCAGGGACCATAGATCTAGAACTGGAGTGGATTTTAAATGTTATCTACTCCTACCTCCTCATTTTACAGATGAAGAAACTGAGGCCTAGAGAAGTTAAGTGACTTTCAAAGTCTACACAGGTAGAATGGGGCAGAGCACTCTCTCTCTGCTGTACCTCACCCTGCCTTTTCTCCCGTTTCTCTGCCAAGGGCCGGGTAGCTTGGTGGCGAACACCCTAAATTTGAAATCAGAAGACCTGGATTTGAATGCTGGCTCGGTCACTTCCTGTCTTTGGTACTCTGGACAAGTCATTTAATCTCGCTTGGCTTCAGTTTTTCTAACTCTAAAATGTTAAAGCTTTTGCTCAGAAACCATTCTCTTCTTAGATAGCCTCAGACCTCTCTAAGAGGATGTCTGGGAGTGGGGCAGGCTGGGGATTCCTTCAAGTCCCATTTATATAATGGTCACTGCTCAGTGACAGAGGTTAGGCTGAGCTCAAGAAATTCTACTCCTAGTTGCCATGTTGAAAACCAGCCAAGGAAGAACTGTCTTGGTCAGCATAAAACAAGAGTAATTTAGGAAAATGAATGAGGAAAGCAGATGGGAAGGTCCTCTAACCATTGCACTCCTGGCCAATGAATATGTTCCTGCAAGAAGGGGTAGGAGGGAGTGTATAATCAAATCTATAAATCAATCTATTATTTCTTGTTGCTATGCAGACTACTTCTTTGTAATTCTGTACCCTATAGCACTAAGGTGAAGGGAATGCATTTTAAAATTGAAGATAAAAATATAACCCACAGTGATTTCCCATTTATTAAGTGGTTCTTTTAGCTCCTGGATAGATAAGGGGCTATACTTGTGATTTCACAGGTAGAGAGAACTCCCAGGTGAGGAAATTTCCCCTACCAATGCAGGTCAGAACCATTTCTGCAAAACTTACAGCCTTAGAGTATTGCCTAGAACTTTGAGAAGTTAAATAAGTCATCCAGAGCCACACATTCAGTGTGCAAAGAGACTGGACTTGAACCCAAGCCTTCTTGGCTTTGAGGCTAGGTCTTAATCCACTATACTATACTGTCTTTCCTAAAGAAAAAAAAAGTATGAAAAATAAAACTGGTTCACAGTTGCTATGCATGGTTTTCCTAGCTTGTTCTTATTTCCTTATTATATTTTTATTCTTATTTTATTTATATTATTAAATTGTAGTATATATATTCCTTGTAACTTTTGTTTTTAGGTCACAATCCCTTCTGTATTCCTCTTACCCCTCCCCAAAATTGAACGGAGTAGTTAAAAATCACCTGTAGTATTAAAAAGTGTGCAGATAACAGTCTTGCCCTGTAGACCTTTGAGAGGAAGGAGGTAAGACCAGGACTTTGATCACTCTGTCATGGAACCTTATACTTTCAAACTTACTAATTAGAAATAAACCTCAGCTACAAACCACATAGCTTCCTGTCTAGTGCTCATTTCCTGGAGTATTGCCAAATGAGAAACAGCCTCTTATATGTCATATACTTACGCTATTTTTTTTTCTTGTACGGAACAAATTATTTTAGTTTATTTACTCTGATGGAAATAACCAATTCACTCCTATGACCATAATGGAACTACTGATGTAGGCTGCTTGAGAGACTATGGAGAAGAAGTGGGCATATGGAGTTATCTATTCATTCATCCACATCCATCTTGTCTGGGGTAAGCCTCCTAGCCGTACTTTGTTTTCAGATAGGTAATTTTTTTTTTAGGGCAAATGGGGCCTTTGTTTATTTTTTAAAATAACCTGTAAATGTCTATTGAAATGGATCACTAAAAAGAAAATCATTAACAATATCTTTAAGAGTATATATTTAGTGATACAGTGGGTAGATTAACCGGGCCTGGAGTCAGGAAGACTCATCTTCTTGAGTTCAAACCTGACCTCAAACACTTACTAGCTGTGTAACTTTGGGCAAGTCTTTTAACCTTGTTTGCTTTGGTTTCCTCACCTGTAAAATGAGCTGGAGATAAAAATGGCAAACCATTGCAGTATCTTTGCCAAGAAAACCCTAAATGGGGTCACATAAAGTCAAACACGAGTGAACAACATCTTCCATCTCGACTTATAGATGTCATATCTCAATATGAAAAAAGAGGAGTAGAAAGTGATCTTGCTTCTCTGTTATAAGACATTTTCACCTACTCTTTGCTAAGAACTCCTAGAGTAATTTAAGAAACTATGTCTTCTATTGGCTGAAATGCTCTCTGAACAACAGTCAGGATAACTCTAAAACACTGGGGGAAAAAATCATATTGCTGGAGATGCAGAGAGACTCCTTAACACTGTTTCCTCTCCTAAGCATCTTTTTAATATAAAAAAGGCACTTCTCCTCCAAATACAAGGGTCCTTGGGAGTTGAGCATATCTTGGACTTTATGAGGTATGTGCTATAGTGGACCTGGGAGACAAAATAGAGCATCCTTATGTCAGTAGGAACTTGAGACTCAAGAGCCTCATTTAAAAATAGAAAGGAGAAAGAGGAGTTTTGCATTCCATAATATGTGTATATTAGAGTGTGTCCCAATGTCTCTGGAATTAACTGAATTACTCAGATAGACCATAGCATTTAAGGAGAATTTCTATATCAAAGAGGACATTGCATAATAATGACTATAGAATAAAATGTAAAAAAAAAACCACAGACATGTCACGAGGCACCATATACTTTACGGTAACATCTGGCTACATCAATTTTTTCATTTATAAAAGTTTGACAATTCCTTTTTGCTGAAAACTCTCACTTGGTCTCTGTTGCTTCCTATCTTAAAAAAAATAGTCTTCTGTTGTGTATTTGGGTCATATTTACCATAGCATTTTAGTTCTCAGTGTTGAGTGCTAAACTAAGGCAAATACTATTATCTAAGGCCCTGCGAAAAGTATCACTGTTTAAATTCACCATTTGAAACCGCCCATTTAAAAATTCCTCCCCTACCCCCATCCTTAGCAAAAATCTTTCTTTGATGTCTCATTATGGTGTAAATATAGCCCTAGGTCCTCCAAGGTTATTTATGTCTGCCAAAAACAAGGTTGGTAGGTCCTGTAAAGCTACAGCAACTTTAAATAAGGAAGGAGCAGCCCCATTTTGTAAGGGAGCTTAAGAAATGGATTCTCTTACATCTAAAACTTCAGACTGCTGAGCCTGAGTAGATAGTACTGGTCAACTGGATTTTTAAAAAATTTTCTTTTTATTGTGGATTTAACAATACAACTCATATTCATTATATTAATTTTCAAGACTAGCCTTTCAGCTAAACCTTCCCGTTCTTCCTCCTTAGTACCTTGAATAGGGAGGATAGAACATAGAAGACTCTCTAACGATTATTTTGATTAAGATGTTGTTATCCCCTCTAGAACAGGGTTCTTAACCACTGCATGTATGTGTTTGTGTATATGTGTATGTGTGTGTGTGTGTGTGTGTGTCCTAGACCTTTTTGACAATCTGATGAAGCCTATGGACCCCTTCTCGAAATGATGTTTTTAAAAACAGAAAACAATAGGATTATAAAGGAAAACAGTTACATTGAATCATATTTATCAAAATACATTTTTTAAAAGTTCAAAGGCCTCAGGTTAGGAACCCCTTCTCTGGAAATTGTATTAGCTATCCCAATCTTCCAAATTTCATCTGAAATTTACTATATTATGTAATATACGTATATATGTGTATATATTTAACGTATATATAATAAATATGTTGCAAAATATGTTGTATCATATGTAGTTCTAAAATTTAAACCAATCCAACCCTGTCCAACAATCATTTAATAACATGTTTTGTACTAAGCACTATGCAAGATGCATGGGATATGAAGACAAGATAAAAAATGGTCCTTACCCTCAAGGTGATGACAGTCTCCTGGAGGGGGGGGTTGGAAATAATGTGCTAAACATCTAAGTCTATACATGATGATTCAGGATGAAGAGCAAAAAAAAAACAAAATAGGCTCAGGAAAGGTTTCCTGTAGGAGATGACACTCAAGCTGAATCATGAAGGAGGTTAAGGATTCTAAGAACTGGGGGAAAGGATGTCATGCATTCCAGGAAGAGGAAGAAAGCCTTTGCTGTAATTTGTCCTTTCTTCTTGAAAAGGGCCATGGCATCAGGAAGATAATGCCATGACATGCAAATGAACTGGATTTAAGTGAGGGAGGGTTGTACAAAGTCACCAGCATCACTTTGTCCTCTGGAGGCATCTGGGTCCAGTGGCCAGATATGGATCAAGACAATTGGAGATGGCCCTGGGAATAGCGGGAGACCATGGCCTGACAAAGTCACAGAGGTAAAAAATAAAACATTAGGTCCAAGCAGGTGCCAATTCAGCTGAAACTTAGAGTACATTAAGGGGAATGTTGTGCAATAAGCCTTTAAACATAAGCCACAGCCAAATTATTCAGTGACTTAGATGTCAAGTTGAGAGGCTTCTGTTTTCCTAGGACAATAGAGAGCCATTGAAGTTTCTTTGCAGAGGGCTGGCATAAACAAACTTCTGTTTTAGAATATTTTAAAATTTTAATTTTTTTCAATGACAAAAATATTTTCTCTTCCTCATAAACTGCCTTCCTCCCCAGATGAAAAAGACAAATAATATACTTGTAACAAGGGTGACAAGAAATAAATTATTCCCTTGTCCGTGTCTGAAAAGTACATCTCAATTTGCTCCCCAAGTCCATCACCTCTCTGACAGAAGGTGTGGCATGTGCCCTTTCAGTCCTCTGACATTATAGTTAGTCATTAAAGAGATTATTTTGACAGCTTGTGTAGAGGGTAGATTGGATCAGGGAGAAGCTAAGTGCCAGGAATCCAATTAGATATCTGTTGTACAGATCAGGAATCAGATGACAATATGAGTAGAGAAAAGGGGATAGATGTTCCAGATGCTGTGAAGGTAGAATTGACAATACCAAACAAATGAATTGATCTAGGAAGAGAAAGTGAGGACAGAAGATACCAAAGTTCCAAATATTAGTGTCTAAAAGGATGGTGTTACTCTTAATAGAATAGGAAACACATTATCAAACCAAGAAAATAAATCATTTTGAATTTCAAAATTCTCTTATCAAGAATTGTTTCATGGTTCTTATTTTCAAATAGGCTGAATTAGATTCAAAGGCAAATAATTTTTACCAGATCATTCCTAGCTAAGAGGATGAGTTGGCTCAGCCTATCCTGATACTAAGTCCTCTGGACCACCCAGATTCCTCCCTACTTCCATAAAAATGAAAAAGTCTTCATGCTGATGAGTTCCCCCAGTTTGATCAGCAATTCCAGAAACTAGTCCTGGTGGCCAAGGAAAAGTGAACCAGATAAACAGATGCTTGGTATTCTTTTCTTTTAGGCCTCTTAGGAGGAACATTTGAGGAAAGAAAAGTCATCTATGCTTCTCCTGGAACAGATGTGAACTTGACATGTCAGACTCAGAAGAGAGGCTCCTTGGTGCAGACACAATGGTCCAAGATCACCAATAGCACAGAAATGATAGCCCTCTACCACCCTCAGTATGGCTATTACTGTGCTGCTAGGACTGCCTGTGAGTCCTTAGTATCATTCACCGAATTGTCACCGAATGTTTCAGAATGGGCTTTGCACTTGAGAAACGTGTCTGCTGCAATGAGTGGGAAATACCAGTGTAGCTTTACTTTGTATCCAGAGGGCACTTGGACAATGGTCAGGAACTTCTTTGTACAGAGTGAAGGTAAGCAATAGAAATTGAGCATAATAAATATGGGAGAGGTGGTAGTACTTTCTTGTATTATTTCAAATTAAGGAAGGAGTACGGTGTAGTGGGTAGAGACCTGGCCTTGTAGCTAAAAAGACCTGCACTCAAATTCTGCCTCTAATACTCACTACATGTGCAAATATGTGACTTAGATGCTCAGTGCTTTTGGCCAGTGGTGTGAAACTGAAATTGAAATGTATCTCTGCTGACAGCATATTAACTTAGAAAATCTGAAATCAACATTTTCTATATTGTCTCTTAATTTATTTTTTAAAAAAATGTTTCCCAATTACATTTTGATCTATTTTCAGAGCATCAAAGAGCCCACAGCCAGAGTTTGATTCCTCTGCTCTAGGCAACTCTCTAGGATGATAAGTTGTAGAGAAGGTGCTGACCTGCATGAGTAGACCGTGTTGTCATCCAGGAATTCCCTTTACTAATGACATCACAGGTCCAGGTTTGATTCCCATCCTTAAGATATAGTGGAGGGGGAGGGGAACCTTATCCCTTTAATCAAAAGACCTGAGTTCAAATTCTGCCTCTGATGATCACCAAGTGTGTGATTTGGGGCAGATCACTTGTCCTGCCAGGCTTCAGTGTCCTTTTCTATAAAATGAGGATTCTGAACTAGATGGTCTCTGGGATCCCTTATAACTCTGAATCTGTTATCCTATACAAGTCACAATCATCAGCTTCAGCCATGTATTTGCTCCAAGGATGGTTCTGAGGTCTGATGTAGCCCTCTTCAATTACATTCACTTAGGGGAGGGTGCCATGTGAAGGATGCTACTGATTCAAGACTGTTGTTGTTTAATCTATTAGTCAAGTTTAACTCTCTGTGACCCCATTTGGGGTTTTCTTGGCAGAGACACTGGAATGCTTTGCCATTTCCTTCTCCAGCTCATTTTATAGATGAGGAACTGAGGCAAACAGGGTTAAGTGACTTGCCCAGGAGCATACAGCTAGCAAGCATCTGAGGCCAGATTTGAATTCAGGAAAGTAAGTCTTCCTGACTTCAAGCCTGGTGATCTATTTACTGTGCCACCCAGCTGCCCTATGAGCTAGAGAAGAAAATGGCAAACCATTCCAGCCTCTTTGCCAAGAAAACTTGAAATGGGCTAATGAAGAGTTGGAGGTGGCTGACTAAACAACGATTCGAGACTAAGGGAATCTGAATGGATACAAGGCAGGAATGCAGAGTCAGATAGACTTACTCTTTGGCTGGGGGGAAGGGGGGAGGGGGAGAGAAGGGGGCAGGATTGACGGAAAGGAGAATACCACAACACGAAGGACAAAAAGCTAGCGAATACCCGGAGGAAACATAGGAATCCCATTTTTGTCAAAGTAGTTAGACTTCCACAGAAACATTAAAAGTGCTTTCCACTGAGAGCTTCTCAATCCAAAGGCTAGGAAAGAGGTTCAAATCCTGCTTCTGACACTTACTGCCTTTGTGACTTTAGGCAAATCACTTACTCTCTGGGCCTCAGTTTCCTTATCTGTAAAATGAGGGAATTGGACTAGATGACTCCTGAGGTCCCTTGCATATCCAGATTTAGGATCCTATGAGGATAAGAAAAATAATAAGTCTTGCATTTAACTCAAGTTACTCACTTTCTTCTCTCCATCACTTGCAAAGGTCAGACAGATTGACAGCTACCTTTGTTGAGTCATCAGTATAAAGGAAGTCAATTGTTTTAGGGTGGAAACAAAAGGGAATCCCCTCTTTTAAGAATTAAAAATGAAAATGTTAGTTTCCATGGGGGAGGAAGACAGAGAGAGAGAAGAAGAAGAAGAAGAAGAAGAAGAAGAAGAAGAAGAAGAAGAAGAACAAGAACAAGAACAAGAACAAGAACAAGAACAAGAAGAAAAAGAAGGAGAAAGAAAGGAGAAGAAGAAGGAGAAGAAGAAGGATGAGGAGGAGGAGGAGAAGAAGAAGGAGGAGAAGGAGGAGGAGGAGGAGGAGGAGAAGAAGAAGAAGAAGAAGAAGAAGAAGAAGAAGAAGAAGGATGAGGAGGAGGAGGAGGAGAGACAGAGAGAGAAAAAAGAGAGAAGAGAGAAAAAGAAAGAGCAAGAGCAACAGAAGAGAGAAGAGAAAGAGGAGAGAGAAAAAAGAATGAGAGAAGAGAGAAAGAGAAAGAGAAAAAAGAGAAAGAGAGCAGAAATTGGAAGTATAGTACAATAGAAATACAGTAGAGAGAGCCTTGGATTTGGAGTCAAAGGACCTGGGTTAGAATCCCAGTCTGGATTACCTTGCCTACCTGTGTGACCTTGAACAAGTCACAACTCCTTTAGATCTTAGTTTCCTTATCTGTAAAATGAGGAAGTTATATTAAGGTCCATTACATCTCAATATTGATTATCTATTGACTTTTCAGAGAGGACTCATTCTAAAAGCCGAGAGTATTTGCCAGAACCAAGCACCAAAACAAAATATCTAATAGACAACTATACTGTGTTACGTTCTTTACAATTATTATCTCATTTGCTGTTCACAACCCTCCTGGGTAGGTGCTATTATGATCCCCATTTTACGGATGAGGAGAACAGGCAAACAAAGGTTAAGCGACTTACCCAGGGTCATACAGGTAGTAGATGTCTCAGTCAAGATCTGAACTCAGGTCTTCCTGACTCCTTACTGGTGCTCTATTCACTGTGCCACTTAGATGAAAAGTCAGAGAAAGATAGTAAGTCAGGGAGGAAGGGTGAAGGATGAGCAGGTCATATCATCACTTTATCAGGCTTGTAGACTACAATAATATTAGGAACTAATATGTATGTAACGCTTTAAGCTTTGCAAAGCACTTTATATATATTATCTCAATTCTCATGGATGCCTACCCAATCAAGTAAGTATGGGAAATTATCTTTATTTTACAGTTAAGAAAAGTTGCGGGGTTAAATGCCTTGCCCATAGCCAGAAAGCCAGGAAGTATCTGAGGCAGCATTCAAACTCATGGCTTGGTGACACTAAGCCCAATGTTCTATATGGCTAGGTGGTACAGTAGATAGAGCACTGGACCTGGAAAATCAGGAAGACTTGAGTACAAACACAGCCTCAGTCATTTAATAGCTGTGTGACTCTGGGTAAGTCACTTAACCTTTACCTGCCTCAGTTTCTTCAACTGTGAAATGGGAATAATAGTAACATCTACTTCCCAAAGTTGTTGGGAGGATCAAAGGAGATGATATCTATAAAACGTTTAGCACTGTGCCTGGGACAGAGTAGGCACATAGTAAATACTTGTTTCTTTCCTTCTTATTCACTGCATCACCTAACTGCCTCAACAACTGAATCCAAGATTAGGAATCAAGGTATCCAGGGACCTGATTGCTTTGTTTGCCTGACCTTGCTCAAAGAAAGGTCTTTCGTTGATTTGGCAGGTAATCAAAGAAAGGGAAGAATGCCTTGAGAATAGATCATCTGTAACTTTAATCAAGGAAGTCTAGCTGAACATTAAAGTTCTAGAGCCAACTTTTCTCTGATTCTCCCTGCCACCTATTGGTAATTTGACAAGTCATTTGGCCCATCATTCTCTTAACTTTCCTATCACTTTGTCCATGGGGTCATTCACAGCTTTTTCAGTTGTTAATGTGAATCAGTCTCTGCAAATAAGAAGCCTTGAGACCCTCCCTTAGAAGGTACTACATAGGATGACAAATCAAAAGAAGGGTTCCAACGCCATCTAAAAATACTGATTCACCACAGCAGAGACAGAGATGGAGAGACAGACAGAGAGAGAGAGAGACAAAGAAAGACTGAGACAAGCAGCTATAAACAGAAAAAGAGAGATATAGAGGCAGAGATAGAGAGATGGGAAGAGCCAGAGAGATACACACAAAGACAGAGATAGAAAGGTAGTATAGCTTAATGCTATACTATAAATTGCTATAGATTTGGAGTCAAGAGAATCTAGATTTGAATCCTAGCTTTGCTATTTATTACCTCTCTAATACTGGTTACTCTAGATGTCAGTTTTCTCATCTGTAAAATGGAGTTGAACTAGAAGACCCTTAAGATCTTATTCAAATCTAAATACTATCATTTTAAATGGGAAACACCTGGCGAAAAAAAAATCTGGAAAATATGCTAAGATCTACTTTTATAACAAAAGGATATGAACCTAAGAGACATTGTGATAATATGTAGCTCCCTTCCTTATTGCCTGCCCTTTACATCACAGCTGTTTCTCGTTTGGTTCTAAGCCACAGGATTGGTGCAGCCTGCTGCCACAGGTCACATTTTCTCAAAATTCCACTTACGGAATTCTGCTCTCATTGAATTCAGAGAAAGATGTTGACATTCCATGGAAGACTGTCTGATAGGACAGTGAGGAGGGAGTGGATTACAACTGCTGTGACCTTTCATTTCTCAAAGCCTATTTTTGCTCCTAAGACAGTTCATAGAAGCATAGATTCTGAGCTTGAAGGCAGCTTAGAGGTCATCCAGTCAAATCTACTTCCCTTTGTAGATGAGGAACTGAGGCCCATCAAGGTAATACAGCTTACCAAAACCCCATAGGTAGTAAGTGTCAGAGCTGGGATTCAAACTCGGTTCTTCTTTCTCCAAATCCAGTGCTCTTTCCACTTATCAAAATAAAAGGGAGCATAGAGAGAAATAGCTCAAACCTTGTATAAGAGAATCAAAAGGACAAAAGTGATTTGTATGATTGGAAATGAAAGGTCAACTTTAACAAGATGAATTTCAACAGTGATAAAGGGAAAGCCCTACATTTAAGTTTTTAAAAATAATTGTATCTGCACAGTATATGTCTGTTGTATGTGTGGAAAAAAACAAGACCTGGGATTTATGGAACTGCAAACTCAATATGAATTAACTGTGTAACGTTGCAGCCAAAAAAAAATTCCCCAAACCAAAAACTGATGTGATCTTAGGCTTTATTAAAAGTAATACAGCACCCAAGAAAGGATTAGTGATAGTGCCACTGATTCTACCTTTGTCAGACCACATATGAACTATTGTGTTGAATTCTAGAGGCCACATTTTAAGAAGAACAAACCACAGTCTATACAGTGACCCATGGCCAGGAGAGTGACAGGATTTGAAACAGTGTCACACAAGGATTGTTTTAAAGAACTGGGGATGTTTATCGTGGAGAAGAAAGGACTTAGAGCTGGGGTAATATGATTGTCGTGTTTAAATATCTGAAGAATTATCATGAGCAAAAGGGACTGGATAATTTTGCTTAAATCCAGAGAGCAGAACTAGGACAAATGGGTGCAAGTTATGGGGAGTCAGTCTACTTTTGATGTCATTTGTGGAAGAATTTTATTAAAAAATGCATATTTCTAAAAATGGAATGGTCTTTTCTTGGAAGGGAGCTCTTTGTCACTAGAAGTCTTCAAGAAGAGACTGAATGACAATTTGTCATGAATGTTATACAGGAATGTTGCATGCTTTAAGCAGATGTTGAAGCAGATGACCTTTCAGCTACCTTCTATCTTCATAAATCATAGTTTAGAAATTAGCCATTCTTCTTTCATTTCCTGGTAATAATTTACACCGTTACTCTGAAAGTTGAAAGTAGACACCAATATGTTCTGTCTTGTCTTCACTCCTGCCATTTAAAAATCTGCTGTCCTGACCAAGTCATAATACTATTTCATTTGGCATCAGTAACTTGAATCAATTCACCATCCAGAAAGGGGGTTTATGGTGAGTCAGATGAAAAGAGACAATAGATGAGAGGTGGTACATTAAAAAGAAAGGAGAGGGGGCAGTTAGGTGGTGTAGTGGATAGAACACTAGCCCTGGAGTCTGAAGGACCTGAGTTCAAATCCAGCTTCAGACACTTACTTAGTTGTGTGACCCTCGGCAAGTCATTTAATCCTGATTGGAAGGAAGGAAGGAAGGAAGGAAGGAAGGAAGGAAGGAAGGAAGGAAGGAAGGAAGGAAGAGGAATGTACTTTAAGGAAACTACATTCTTAATAACAACAGCAAAAAACAAAACAAAACCAAAGAACAATATGAACCTAAGTCCCTTAAACTGGTAGCTATCCAAAACCTCCTCAAGCCACTAGGGAAATAGAGGTCATGGACATGGAGGCAGAACTGATCCCACACTGTTCTGACTATAACTTTACAAATCAGTTTCAAAGTCATGGTCTGAACCTTTCAGAAATGGTTCTGCTGGGGGCAGCTAGATGGCGCAGTGGATAGAGCCGGCCCTGAAGTCAGGAAGACCTGAGTTCAAATGCGGCCTTAGACACATAACACTTACTAGTTGTGTGACCCTGGGCAAGTCACTTAACCCCATTGCCTAGCCAAAAAAGAAAAAAAAGAAAAAACAGAAGAAGAAGAAATGATTCTGCTGCCTGTTTAAAGATAGGGCCAGACTATAACAGACAAGCAATCACCAGAAGCTTGAAAGCTATGATATTGGCAAAGGGAGAAGATGCCAGGCAGTTGATTTGAGCCCTAGCTAGAAACACTATGGTACAGTAGAAAGCATATTGGATTTGGAACCAAAGGAGTCTAGGTTCACATATTCCCTTTGCCATTTAGTACCTATGACTTCAGAGAGCTAGGTGGTGCACTGAATAGAGTGCCTGGTCTGAAGTCAGGAAGACTCATCTTCATGAGTTCAAATCCAGCCTCAGACATTTACTGGCTATGCGACCCTCTTTGCCACATTTTCCTTATCTGTAAAATGAGTTGGAGAAGGAAATGGTGAACTACTCTAATATCTTTGCCAAGAAAAGCCCAAATGGGTTCACAAAGAGTCAGAAATGACTGAACAACAACAACCTATAAGTTTGGGCTATTCTTCCATTTTTAGTTAAAGAGAATTAACTATATGACATTAAAGATCACTTCCATGTTTAAATCTATGCCACCAGAGGTCCTTATGTATTAGCTCATTTCCCACCAAAAGGACTTCTCTTTTCTTCCCCACTCCCCATTCTCCCTTTAGCTTCTTTTCCTTCCTTTTCTTCTACTTCATCAGGCAAAATAATCTCAGGGACTCAGTTTCCTCAATTGTAAAATGAAGGAAAAGAAGAGGCTGATCTAGATAATCTCTGAAGTCACATCTGGCTCTGTATCTATGAGCCAGTGATCCTTTCTTTGACCTCTTTTCCCCCAATCTTTTCTGATCTGAGCCTCAGGGTCTCCAGGCAAGGGATGTACCATCCCTGTTGATATGTCTTGTGACTCATGCCACTTCTGACTCCTGTACTAGAGAGTGGCAAAAACCAAAGAAGTCTTTCACTTGGTCACCACCTTCCTGGTGAGTCCACAGTAGTCATTGAACATTGACAGACATGCTGCCTTCTGGCAGTCTGCAAGCTAATTAAGTAGGTAAACTCCTGTGGAATAATCATTTTGAAAGTACTTACATATATACAAATGCATGTTGAAGTAGTGTGGCACAAATGACATGCATCAGTGCTTAGGTGTTTGAAGTTAATCAGTATTTCCTGTTTGTTTTCAGAGTCATTTGTATCTCTTTTCCTGTCTTCTGTTCACAAAGCATTAACATGTGCCTAAGAGATCAGTCCAGGGTTCTCTCAAAACCAGGTAGTCTTTGAGAAGCCATTCTGTTCTCTGTCCCATGAAGCCTTCCAGATAACATGTTATTTATGTTTATCCTCTGTGCTATGATGCTGCAGGACTAGTGTGAAAATACAGGTCTGTACTTAGCAGATGGGCAGGTAAGTGGGGCAGCGGATAGAATCCTGGGCTTGGAGTCAGGAAGACTCACCTTCCTGAGTTCCAATGTGGCCTCTGACTATTAGCTGTGTGACCCTGGGTGAGTCACTTAACCCTGTTTACCTTCGTTTCCTCATCTGTAAAATGAGCTGGAGAAGTTAATGACAAACTACTCCAGAATCTTTGCAAAGAAAACCCAAATGCAGTCACAAAGATCAGACACAACTGAAATGACTGACCAACAACACTTGGCAGAATGTCAAGGTGCCAAAAACTTGGCATGTATGCTTTCTCGGGATTCTAAAAGGAAATTGTTCCTTTCTTCCCATCCTACAGCAGAGTAACTTCTAAAATGATCCTGAGAGCTTCATTTCAAGTACTTGGTACATAGCTGTGCACCAAGTTTCTCTGATTTATATCCAGACAAATTAGGCCCTAAGGTTTATGTATGTGCATAGATAGAGATAAAGACAGAGATGGAGATAGAGATATGGAGAGATAGAGATAGATATGTACATAGATATATGTACATATATATATATATATATATGTTGACACTATATATATATTTTGCAAATTGAAGTATAAGTTTTGTTGTTGTCGTAGTTTCTCCAATTATTACTAAAGCTTTAGAAATGGCCTCCCTCTTGCCTGATCTGCAAGCTATTAGGAATGTGAGGACAAGTCCTGCTGCTGCTTTTGCCCAGGAAGCACGCTTTGATGAATCTGTGACCTCATCCATCCGAAATACAAAAATTACAACTTTAAAAGCAAAGACATCAGCTTCCAAAGTTGTAAAGTCTTCATCTGGAAGAGGGAGAGAAAGAGAGCAGAGACAGAGAAAGACACACAAACAGAGACATAGAGGAAGAGTTAGAAACAGAAACTTAGATAGAAAAGGAAGGACAGAGAGAGACAGAGACAGAGCCAGAGAGACAGACAGAGATTGACAGAGTGACAGAGTCAGCGACTGAGACAGCAAAGGAAGGGGAGAGAGAGGGAGGGAGGGGGTGAAAGAGAGGGAGGGAGGGAGAGAGAGAGAGAGAGACAGAGAGAGAGGAGTTGGGTAAGTAAAGGGAAAGAGGAAGAGAGAGAAAAGGAGAGGAGAAGGGAAGGAATGAGAGGAAAGGCGTTTTAAATTTATTGTGTGTTACTTGAATAGGAGAGATTTCCACACAGTTCCATAACATGGAAATTCCATGCTTTAAAAATATGTCCTCGATTGTACCACCTAGGTAGAAAAAACCATTGAAAGCTTAAGGGCCAGCTCAGCTGTATTTTTACATTATTGCTTCTTAATGGTTGCATATTTGCGTGTAGACACACACACACATGAATTATTCCTACTTTTAGCTAAAGGGGCAAAATGCATACTGGGTTGAAAAATAAAATACTATTTTTTTTTTTGTGAACCAGGCAAATGTGACCTGATAATTCAGGATCAAGACTGAGTAGAGAGTGCGGCTGAATTTCCATTTAGGTTCTGTTCTCTTCCACCTGTGATTTTCAGACTTATATTTACAACTCATTTTGCTTCTTAGCAGCTCAGTTTTATACTTGCAAAGTGTGAGGTGATAGTCCGTGTTTCCCCTCTATTTTATAGGAATGCTCTGAGAATTAATGTATCACATTTGGTGACAGTATCCACATTCTTTGGATGAAAGAAACTTTATAAGCTTAAAATATCATTGTCGATATTTTCTTTTTTCTTCTTTCATTTTGCTACAGTTGCACAAGATGAGAGGGGAGGGAACTATACAGTGGAAGTATTATTTAACCACACGCTGGAAATCCCATGTTTTCAAAATATATCCTCAGTCGTTTCATCTGAGATTACTGTTGCCTGGCTGATGGTAAGGATTACTGTTTTTAATGAAAAAGTGACTTGAAATTTACATATTGATTGAGTAATATTCAATCAGCAAGCATTTATTATGTGTCTTCTATGTGCCAGGCAATGGGCAAGGTACTGGAGAGTCAATGACAAAAAATCAAAGAAATCCTGCCCTCTAGAAGCTTACATGTTTTTCGGGGAGACAATGTGTGCATACGTAGGAATATGAAAAAAAAGACATTTAAAATGAATTCAATGTAATTTGGGGGGAAATGGGAAAAGAAGTGGGAGAACTCACTAAATGATTCATGCTTGAGTTGAAACTAAGAGTAAACTAGAGATTCTCAGAGAATGAGGAAAGGAGAGAATGTATCCTAGATTTGCAAGCAATGCAAAGTCATGGAGATGAGAGAGGGAGAGAGAGAGAGAGAGAGAGAGAGAGAGAGAGAGAGAGAGAGAGAGAGAGAGAGAGAGAGAGAGAGAGAGTATGATGTGGGAGGAACAACAAAAATGCCCACTTGTAATGGAGAAATACAGGTAAATCTAGTCATTGTCCTAATTATTCCAAATCTTGAACTGCTTCACTGTATGTTAATTTGTATTTGCTGCATTATTGCTTTGTGATATTCTATGGGCATAGAGTAGATGTTTCTTCAAATAAGGCTGTATTTTCATTTTGTTCACAACACCTCCCTATCCCCTTCACCCCATAGTGACCCTTTACTGTGCTATATATAGTAGGAGAAGAATAGTGTTTTGAATGAGCAGAAACTCACTGACTAGCTAACTCTTTTATCTAATACTTTGGACCTTCCTCAATATCCTGCTGAGACATCTGCTTAGATAAATGGAGGAGGTAAAGAAAGATCAAATGACTTTCTGAAGGTCACACAGTGAAAGGATAGGGGAAGCAAATTTCAGAGCTCTGTCTTTCCTTGATTCTGCTACCGGACCAGAGAAGTCTGCCCCTGCACCAATAAATTAAGGGAAAAAAACAAAACAAAAGAAAAGAAAACAAGACGATACTTGTAGCTTAGAGAAATCTTTTGGAAGAAACCTCCGTTTTAAAGGATCCTTACATTGACACATTTGATAATTAAATGCCTTGTGTATTTCCCTGGTCAGAAGAAGTCTGCTCATATTTTTAAGCCCTTGTTTCTAATTGATAGCTGTGGGATTGAGTCGAATGCAAAACAACTTATTCTTTTCCTATCATAGAATAAAATGCAGCCTTTCATTTTATAGTAGTTAATCTCCCTCAAAAGACTTGCAATCTCTAAAATATAACCTTGGGAGGCATTTTATTGCCAATTAAATTAATATTATTATGGATCCAATATTAGTTACTATTATCCATGCATGTTGAGTAGATATTTTATGAAAGAATAGCAGTGGGAGGGGCGTTGAGGGGACAGGGAAACATGGATAAAAATTGAATAAAATGAGAAGGCAGTCTTCCCTGGTTGAAGAAATACATACAGCAAAAATGTCATGGATAATGCATATTGCCGCTCTGAGCATTACCCCACCCTGATACCTACTCAGTGACTGCTCATTCTCCAATCTGCTCCACCTCCACACTGGCTGCCCTGCCCCCTCTGCTCCAGTAACCTCCTTCCCTCCCCATCTTTTTCTTTTCTCTTCCAGCTCCCCTTTAAGTTTTGCATCCCTAGTCCTTAGCACACTGCTTGGTGCATAGGGAATGCTTAATAAATGCTTACTCACTCACTCTGTCTATCATCTATATTATTATAAACATAAGAGATATCTAGCCTTGGAATCAGGTAGATCTAGGTTCAAGATATACCTCTGACAAGTACTAGTAGTATGACCAAGAGAAAAATCACTTCTGAACCTCTCAGTGCTTCAGATTAGTCTCTAAAGATTATAAATTACAAAGGAATTGTGGATCTGATCCTGGTGACAGGATTTTTTTTAAATCTAGAGATTTCCCTAAAGATACCATAGCTCCAGACCTTACCCTCACCCCTTACCCATCAATCAATCAACAAGCGTTTATTAAGCACCAGGCACAATGCTAGGCACTGGAGATACAAAAACATCAGGCAGCGTACCTGCCTTGGAAGATTCCATTGGAGGGTGTATAGAGACAACTGCCCTTGTTGCTTACAAGTCATTCTTGTAAAACAATATTGGCAACTAGTAGCAAATCAATCAAGTATTTATTAAGTACCTACTGTATGCTGGTCACAGTGCACGTGGTGAGTTTTAGAGACATCATACATTTCATTTTCTATTATCTTCTCTTTTCTCTATTAGCTGAGGCAAATAAGAACTGGCTTATTCTGAAGAACCAGTTGGATATTGGAAGGGAGCAGCATCCTTAGATGCTGAGGATACAAAGATAAAAGTGATACATGTCCTACCCCAAGGAGCTTATATTCTATCAGGGGAAACAATGTGTACATGTATAGGCACATACAAGTAAATACAAAATCATTTATGGTAGAGAGGCAACTAGTAATTTTAAGGATCAGGACAAGCCTCACATAGAATTTAGCAAAGTGTCTGGCAAATATAGGTGCTTAAAAATGTTTATTGAATGATTGACTGATGTAGGAAGTGTTGCTTCAGCTAAGCTTTGAAGGAAGCTAGGGATTCTAAGAGGAGGAATAAGAATACTTTCCAGGTAGAGGGTGGAGGCAATGTGGGGGAGGGGACAGTTTCTGAAAAGGTATGGAGGCAAGAGACCTAATGTCGTTAATCAACCAACAGGCATTTATTAAACATCTGTTTGTGCTAAACCATGTATGAGGAACAGCAAGAACACAGGCTGCATCTGAGCGTGCATAAAGGTGAGAAATGAATAAGAAAACAGAAACATTTGGAGCCGGGATATAAAGTGCTGTTAATGCCAGGGGAATTTGAATTGAAGCCTGAGGCAATAGGGAACTACTAGAACTTACCAAGCAGAGTTCTGATTTGAACAGACAAATATGTGCTTTAGAAATATCACTTTGAAAAGGAAAAGGACCAATATGTACAAAAATATTTGTAGCAGCTCTTTTAGTGGTGCAAAGAATTGGAAATTGAGAGGATGTCCATCAGTTGTGGAAAGACTGAACAAGTTGTTGTATATGATTACAATGGAATATTATCGTGCTATAAGAAATGACAATCAGTATGCTCTCAGAAAAACCTAGAAAGACTTGCATGAACCGATGCAAAGTGAAATGAGCAGAACCAGAAGAATATTGTCCACACATCTGCAATATTATATCATGATCAATTGTGAATAACTTAGCTATCCTCAGCAATAAAATGACCAAAGACAATTCTGAACTGAGGATGAAAAATGCTGTCCATCTCCACAGAAAGAACTGATGGAGTCTGAATGTAGATGGAAGCATATTTTTTCTTTCTTTACCTTATTTGTCTTGGTTTTTTTGTCTGTGTTTTCTTTCACAGCATGACTTACAGAGAAGTAAGTCCCTGTTTTGTCTGACTGCACATGTATAACCTATATCAAATTGTTTGCCTTCTCAATGAGTAGGGGAAGGAAGGGAGGAAGAGAGAGCATTTGGAACTCAAAATTTGAAAAAAAAGTTTAAATTGTTTTTACATGTAATTGGGGTAAAATAAAATATTACTTTGGCAGCTATATATAGGATGGATTAGAGAGAGGAAAGACTTGACATATATGCTATTAAAATAATAATTATTCATAATAATAAACTGACTTGTTATTGTTTTGGAGGCAATTGGGATTAAGTGACTTATCTAGGGTCACACAGCTAGTTAAGTGTCAAGTGTCTGAGGCTGGATTTGAACTCAAATCCTCCCGACTCCAGGGCTGGTGTTATATCCACTGTGCCACCTCACTGACTTTTTAATAAACATGACACAACACAGCTTTCAGAGAGATGCTTATTTACTGATTCAAAATGTGGATGTAATAAAAAGTTTGTTGGCTCATAATTTAAGGCCTTCAGAACACCTTATACTAACTATCAGATAGGCAAAAATGCCTTACTGGTTTAAAAAAGTGAACTCCACTCCCAAATGCCTTTATTTGTAATTTAGGTATAATTTCCAATATGGAAACATCCAGACTTGTAGCAAAAACTGTATCATGTTTTTTATGCTGTCCTCTGAATATATAACCTATACCTGGCCTATAGTAACTACAAGTTTCCTAAGTTAAATTGTAAATGAGCAAATATAGGAATTAAATAAATGATAGTTTCCATCTTGTCTTTCTTTTGGTTAGCTTGGTTGACTTAATTAGGCCATTTATGGAGAGATCATTGATTTGGAGATAAGCATGGAGGACTTAGAGGATAATCTTGTTTAGATGGCCTAGAACTAAAAGGAGATTACTGTTAGTAGATGGGGACAGAAGGTAGCGGTCTCATTTTACATACTAAGGCACAGAGAACAATTAAATATGTTCTCCAAGCTTCCTCGAAGAGTCAATGAGAAAGTCAGAAATAGATAACAAAGATCCCTAATGCTGTCCCCTACTGATTGTCATTTCCCACAGGATAACATCTTTAAATATTGCTTGCGATTTACGTTCTACACTTGATGAGGGACAAACTCATGAAAAGACAGGAAAATGTATTCTATTTTTAGGTTCTCAAATAGGCTTCTAAGTTCTCCTTGTATTCTGAGAAAGTGAGAGAAAAGAAAATGGAATATGGTTACCTTTAGAGGCTGAACATCCAGTTTGTGGATTTTCTTTTAACACCCCTTGCTGCTATCTGCTGGTCCTTTCATTGCTGGTGAACTCTTCCATAAATTGATCAATCAACAAGAAATTATTAAGTACCTGCTATGTGCTAGGCACTAGGCTGAGCTGTGGTGATAACAAAAACAGTGCCTGCCCTTGAGGATTCTGTTACAGGATTTGTGGAGACAACCAGTCTTTACTTTTTTAAAAGGATGTCTGCAGTTAGGAATAAACCAACCAGTCAACAAGCACTTGTTAAGCACCTACTATGTACTAAGTACTGTGAACATAGTAAATGAAATTGAGTAATGCTATACATTTACTTTTATCCACTAACTCTTTCCCCCATTAGCTAAGACAACTAAGAGATAGCTTGTTCTGAACAGAAAGGCAAGATTTTGTAGGGAAATGGAAAGGGACGTTGTCTTTCAGTCACCAAATAGCCTTCAAAGACGGAGGATTTTGTAAGCAATAGTCGAAGTCAAAGCATAAGAAGACTAAAGTCTAATGAAAAACATTTAATAGGCCATATAAAGATGAGTCTTTCTTATCATACAGGAAATTGTTTGACAGGCAATGTGGCATATTGCAAAGTGCACTGGACTTAGAAGCAGAAGAAATAGGTTCACGATCCAGTTTTGAAATTTCCTAACTCTGTTGTGACTATGGTTGTCAATCAATCAATGAGCGTTTATTAAGTTCCTGCTATGTACCAGATGCTGTCTTAAGTGCTGGGGCTACAAATACATATCAAAAACTGAAGTCATTATCTTTCCCTCCAAAGCCTTCCCTCTTCCAAACTTCACTATTTCTATCAAAGACACAAGGGTGTGCTGGAGCCATCTCTAACCTGGTTTGAAGAACAATTTAAACTTTTTAATTAAATTGAAATTTTAAGGTGAGCATTTATACCTCAGAAATAGACATTTATTACAAATTATGGTTACATTTGTTGTTTTTGTTGATTATCTAGACTTTAGAAAAAGAGGAGGGAAATGTTAATAATGCAGATTAAACTTAAATATGTGTGCATACATCCCCCTAGAAAGCCCGGAAACATTTTCTGTTGCTAAACATTTACCCATATACCGCTGTATTGCTCTATAAACATTGCTTGAGCTCACCAGGAAGGAGTTAAGTAGATTTCTTTGTTAAGGACCACACCTTAAATCCTCTGGCTTTCATTGATTGGCCAACAATGGCTAAAAGTGAACCTAATTAGCAAATGTTTCTGTTTTGGCCAGAAATTCTGAGTCTTTCCCCTTTCAGATTGCTTTTTTTTAACTAGGTAAAAAAGGCCATTCTTTGCCTCATTTCTTACCTAGCCTTAATCACTGAATGGGTGTTGCCTCAGACAAATTGAGACCTGAGAAAGACCTTAACTTAAATAGGCCAAGGTCTCCCACTCTTTCCAGGGCCACCTCCAGTCTTCTTGATCTGTATCTTGCCACTAAGCTCAGACAGCTCCTGAAGAAAAAGTGAGGCTGGTAACTTTGCACAGCTCTGCCTCACTTAAATCCAATTCACTTGCAAATCATGGCATCATCCCCTGATATCATGGTCCTCTTTGAGAATGAAGGACAAACAACAACAATCCTCATTCCAGTCTATCTTCCACTCAGTTGCCAAAGGGATCTTCCTAAAGCTCACCATTCAATAAACTCAAGTGCTTGCTGTCACCTTCAGGATCAAATACAAATCCTCTGTTTAAGTCCTTCATAACCTTTCATGTGTACTTCCTACCTTTCTACTCTTTTTTTTACATCTTGAACCCCCCTCAAATACTCTGTAGCTCAGTGACATTGGCCTTCCTGCTATTCTTTGCACAAGGCACTCCATCCCCTAACTGAACATTTTAGCTGACTCTTCCCTATTACTGGAATTCTCTCCCTCCTCATCACAACCTCCTGATTCCCTGGCTTCCTTCAAATCCCAGATAAAATTCTACCTTCCATTGGAAGTCTTTCCTAAGCTCCCCTCAATTTTTAATGCTTTCTCTATGTTTATTATTTCAAATTTATTCTGTGTATAGCTTGTGTATGGATAGAGATAGATTATGTATATGTGTATATGTTTATGTCCTATATGTATATATGTATTTGTTGTTTATATGTTGTCTGTCCCATTAGACTATGAGCTCCTTGAGAGCAGGGGCTATCTTTTACCTATTTTTATATCTCCTTTGCTTAGCACAGTGCTTGGCACAAAGTAGGTGCTTATTTATTTACTGACTGACTGACCATATACTTATATAACATATACTTATATTATATAATGCTTACTCTTTTCAGGCAGAGGTTTCTCAGGGTCTCCTCCTCAACCACTTGTGGAGTTTTATCTCTTAAGCTTGTAACTACAGAGGCCTTGCTGGGAACCCCTAAATATAAGAGTCTGCCTGGAAAGAAGTCAACCACTCAAGCCTTCTTTCAGTCAAAATAGGGAGATTTGTTGTAACACCAATAGGAATGGGCTAGATTTCTCAGTGAATCTGCAGCTTGATGAAGATGAGACTAATCCTTATATACAAAAAAAGGGGAAAAGGGTCAGTGAAAAGATCTTGATGAGATTAAGGAGTATCAAGTAAGCTAAGTAAGTAATCAAGTTGGGCTGTGGTGGACTAGATGCCTTGAAGGAGGCACCAGTGATCTAGGCTGATGAAATATATGGGAAAATTCAGGGACTGGGTTGCTTTCAAAGACATGGTCTTCTTCCTTTTAGGAGTCCAGGTCCCATCACTCCATCAGCCTGACTTTGGCAAATTAGCTCCTTCCATTCTAAGGCATTGTAGGGGGAAGAGAAAAAAAGCCCAGGGCTTGAGAGGGTCAGTGGCAGAAATACTGTAGAGATTCTGAATAGGGGAAGCCATAGAGGGAAGTCCCCATTAGTTAGTTATTGCCAGATTCTAGGACTAAGTCTGTGTGGGTGTATTGTGCACTGGATGAACTGGATCAGGGCTAACCTTTTGCTTCAAATAAATTCTCTTTGGCTTACAGGTGGAGCCTGGGCAGTTTCATATCTTCTCCCTCAGTTCCCTCTTCCCCTTTTTCCCTTGCTTTCTAGAGATGTGACACTATGTCTTTGAGTTGTGATGCCTCTTCCTGGAAAGAGATACTTTCTCTGAGTCTCAAAAGTTTATTTACCTTCCTGTGTTTAAATGTTTACTTTTTCTTCCCCAAGAAGAAATTGTAATGCTGCCATATATGCATATTATTATTATTGCTTAAATGTAGCAGCAATTGAGGAAACCAGATAGAGAGAGATAGATGTAAAACAATAATATTTTGCTATATTGAGGTCTTTGGATGGGGGTTCATGGCAGAGAGAATACTTCTACTGGGGTTCCCCTAGGCCTTGAGTCATACAGTAGTGACTGCTGTGATTAGCTAGAGGCAGGACCTCTGCTATCTTGCCTGGGCTAAATTGAGAGGAAAGTCACTCTTTGAGGAAAGGAGTTGAGAGAGTGGCTTAGGAAAGCCATTGTAAAAGGAGGCGTAGCACAGCCCACAAAAAGGTAGGGAGAAATGAATACAAGTGATTGACAGCTCTGCCTGCCTGCTACCAGCATAACCATCACGTCAATACCATTGATAAACTTAGAGGATTTCTCTTGAAATGATTAAATACTCATGGAGGGCAAAGACTGCTACATTTTGTATTTGTATCCCTAGCAGTATAGCATGGTGGCCTGACATTTCAGGCTCAATCAATGCTTGTTGACTGATTGACTTGATAACTGAAAATCAAATCTAATGATATTCTCAACAGGAGGAAAATGGAATGCAAGAAACTCTTTTCATCCACAACAACACCTTTCTGAAGAACAGAATTGTCCTACTTAAAAACCATGGACTCTACCTGTCGTCAGTTGAAATCTTTGATGACGATAGAAAGTTTTCCTGCCATGTTACAATCCAATCTGGCAAAATCCTGAAGAATGTCACCAGAATTAAAGTTTTTGGTAAGAACTTTCTGGTTCTTCTTTCAACCTCACTGGCATTTTCAGGTGGATCTCCTGTGTTTAACTTTGCCTTGCATTGTAGAGGGCAAGATTTGGTTCTGAGTAGTCCAATCAAAAACTATTTTGTCTCTCATATTCTCTATTTTGGATCAGGAAGTTAACAACAACAAAAAACTCAGTTAACAAAATAGAATAAAATAAAAAGCTGTAGTATTTACTTGTTAGCGGACTGGTGACCAATAGCTCATTTGTAACTCTGCTTTTTTTCCCCAATAGTATTGGAAATCATTTTTATTGTAATTGCTAAAAACCTAATCATATGGCATTGCTTGCTGGAGAAACAAGGCATAGCAGGTAGAAAGATATCATTGCTTTACCTCCCTCTATCCCCAGCCCCTAGTAGCCTTGGAAGACCAATTCCAGATATGTTGGAATGAATAAATATCCAAGCTCTTCCAAAAAAGTGACCTGTCAAGATTCCCATTTTATCATCTCTTGAGTCTTAGGAATATGTAATTCAACTCTAACTATTCACTGTGGTCTGACTTACAATGCAAAGATTTAGCAAGGAATAATTTCAAAAGACAATGAGAAAATTCTGTTGGACCATGTTACCCAGTGATGCAAGGAAAAATTAAATAAACAGAAGTCCTTGGTTTTGATTTCTTTCCATGCCTATGTTAACAAGGAATTGAATTCTAAAATGTGAATGTTGGGAGAGAAAGGGTGGAGAGAAAAGTAAAGTAGTAATATGAAATATCCATTATTATAAAATATTAAGAAAAAAATGAAAATCTGCTTCTGTAATTGCAAATATTGTTAGAGAGCTGTTGCTTTCTTTTGGCCCTACATGTGACGGAGCTGGCCAAAAATCCCTTGCTTTTATTTAGAATCTTATTCATTTCCTGTTATATATTCCCAAGGTGGTGTGGTGGATAGAGTATCGGGCCTGGAGTCAAGAAGACTGCTCTTCCTAAGTTCAAAATCTGGCCTCAGACAATACTAGCTATATAACTATGGGCAAATCACTTAACCCTGTTTGCCTCAGTTTCCTCATCTGTAAAATGATCTGGAGAAGGAAATGGCAAATCACTCTGGTATCTTTGCCAAGAAAACCACAAATGGGGTCACAAGGAGTCAAACATAACTGAAATGACCAAACAACAAAGAAGGAAAAACAATTGTAAGTTTAGAAGGGTGAGGAGGGCAAGTTGTAGTTATGACTCAAATTGCTTTACCTTTGTTCAGAGCAGTAACTAGGGTGTGAAAGCTGGGGCTTTGTCCCAGGTAAGAAATTTATAAAGTGTTGACCTCATCCTGCTTGTGCTGCCCCTGATGTCAGTGGTTCTGGTTTTGTCCATCATCTGTTCCCCTTAACAGGGTTATCTGCTCTCCCTTTGACTGCTGCACTTTCAACAATATGAAAACTTTAGACTGTTCTAGGATACATTTTCTTTCTCTGAATAACCTTCATCCCACCACTTGCCTTAGATAAAAAATTGTGCATGCATGTGCACACACACACACACACACACACACACACACACATACACACTTTTTTCCTTCCTTACATTATCTCAAATCATCGGTTTGAAAATAGTAGTATGTGTCAGGTCTCTGAGGAGCTAGAGGGTGTTTCTTTTTCTTTAAACAAAAAAAAATATTCAGGATTGCCACCATTTCAAAATTATTGACTTATTTATTCAACAGTCTATCAAGTTCCTGAAATGAAGTTTTACCCTAATACAAGGTTCTCTGCATTTTTGTAAATAGACCAAAGCAACCATCCAGAATATGGATAAAATCTAAATTCTTGATTTTGGCAGCATAATCATCATTAGCTGACGTTCCTCTGGCTATGGCTCAAAGTAGTAATACTTCTGACATTTAAATCTCCTATTTTTGTGTTTTGTTTTGTTTTATAAATATGTCTTTATATCATTGCTGATGTTTTCCATCAGTTTTTTACTATGTTTTATCTCTCTACTTTTATTGTTTGTCTCCACAGCATTCTCATTCTTTTTATAAAATATTGTATCAGGCCAATCTATGCCTGACATTTTAATTTGTATTTATAGCTGGCTTTACCCATTTGCATATAGGCAAGCCAAATTATGATTATGCAAGGATTCCAATCTGGTTCCATCACATATCCATCCATGCATGTAAATTCTCTGAATCCACTTTGACAAGCGGAATTGCCTGTGGAAATTCTCTGGTGAATGTGGGTGAGTGACATGAAGGTACGAATGGTGAAGATTATAAAGGATGAGAATAGTATAAGGACTTCGCTGAGTATGTATATGTGTATGGATTTAGTTAAATAGTAAAATAACCATTGCACAGTGATAACAGGGGTGCTTTGGTCAAAACCTAATCCATATACTGCAGTGCATTAGAGAGAGTGCTAGGTTTGGTGTTGCCACTACCCTAAGGAAGGCACTCATCACCTCACAACTAGATTGTTCCAATAGGCTGCTGGGGGTCTGCCTGTCTCAAGTCTGTCTCCACTTCAATCCATCCTCCATTCAGCCACAAAAGTGATTTTCCTAAAAGACAAGTCTGATCACGTCACACATAACTGCTACACCACCCCACCTCATCCTGTTCAATAATCATCACTGGCCTCCTACTGCCTCCAGGAGCAAAGAAAAATGCTCTGTTTGGCATTTGAAGCCCCACATAGCTTAGCCCCCACCTACCTTTCCAGTCTTCTTACATCTTCCTCCCACAGACAGACTTTTTTAATCTAGTGATACTGGCCTCTTGACTGTTCTGTGAACAAGATACTCTGTCTCTTGGCTCCAGGCATTTTCTCTGACTGTCCCCCATCCCTGAAATGCTCTCTCTCCTCTGCTTCAACTACTGACTTCCTTGGTTTCCTTTTAAGTCCCAATTAAAACCCCACCTTCTATAGGAAGCCATTCCCAACACCTTCTAATTCTAGTACCTTCCCTATGTTAATGATTTCCTATTTATCATGTATAGAGCTTGCTTCGCATATATTTGTTTGCATGTTGTCTCCCCCATTAGACTGTAACCTCCTTCAGGGCAGACACTGTCTTTTACCTCTTTTTATATCCCCAGCACTTAGCATAATGCCTGACATATTTTGTTGTCAGTTATTCTGTTGTATCCAACGCTTCATGGCCAGTAGACCACATCATACCAATACTGTCCATGGGGTTTTCTTGGAAAGATACTGGAATGCTTTGCCATTTCCTTCTCCAGCCCATTTTACAGATGAGGAAACGGAGTCAAACAGAGTTAAATGACTTTCCTGGAGTCACACACCTAGTGTATGAGGACAGATTTGAACTCAGGTTTTCCTTAATCCAGGCCCAGCACTCTATCCACTGAGTCATTTAGTTGCTTATTGATTGGTTATTGATGTATTTGGAGACAAAGGAGCTAGGTTCATTTTTTCCTGGATTATGCTCACTTCGCTCAGCATCAGTTCGTGTAAGTCTTTCCAGGTTTTTCTGAAATCTGCTTGCTCATCATTTCTTATAGAACAATAGTATTCCATTCCATTACCACTTGTTCAGCCATTCCCCAACCGATGGGCATCCCCTCAATTCCCAATTCTTTGCCATCACAAAAGAGCTGCTATAAATATTTTTGTACATGTGGGTCCTTTCCCTTTTTTTTTTATCATTTCTTTGGGATACAGACCACTAACAGAATCAAAGGACTGATCAAAGGATTGCTGGATCAAAGATATGCACGGTTTTATAGCCTTTTGGACATAGTTCCAATAGCTCTCCAGAATGGTTGGATCAATTCACAACTCCACCAACAATGCATTAGTACTCCAATTTCCCCACATCTTCTCCAACATTTATCATTTTCTTTTTCTGTCATATTAGCCAATCTGATAGGTGTGAGGTAGTACCTCAGAGTTGTTTTACTTTGCTTTTCTCTAATTAATAGTGATTTAGAGCATTTTCAAAAATATGACTATAGATAGTTTTAATTTCTTCATCTGAAAACTGCATTTTCATATCCTTTGGCCATTTGTCAATTGGGAAATGACTTTTATTCTTATAAATTTGACTCAGTGCTCTACGTATTTTAGAAATGAGGTCTTTATCGGAGACGCTGGCTGTACAAGTTGTTTCCAGCTTTCTGTTTCCCTTCTAACCTTCGTTGAATTGATTTTCCTGTGCTTTTGTCCAGTTCTTAATCCACCAAACTTAATCTTATAGTGATCCGCTAAAGATCAGGAGGGCAGTCCAATTCTCTCCAACTGTACTGACCTGGAAGACACCTTGATTCCTTGTACAGAGTAACCTAATACATTAAAATAAATATGAAAACTCTGTAACTACCCATTCCTACCGTTTCGAAACCTCTGATACTTACTCTCTCTTACCTTGTCTCTTACCAGGCTTTGGCTGATTTCAGCCTCCTGAGACTGTGGTCTCCAGCTTACAAATGAGAGACAAAGAGGTCCATCAATCCTCTTGCAACACTTTCTTTGACATCCCTGTACCCTTTGTCTCTTGATTCAAGAGTCTCTAGCCCCTCAGACTTTGGAAGGGAGTTAGCTGTCTATCACAGGTTCAGACCTTGAGCTCAAAATGAAGTCAGCCTTAGCCCAGGGACAGTCTGCCTCATTGATAAACCTGATCCCTTTTAACTTCGTACAGTGGCTCCTTTCTAAGGTTGGTCGTTGGTCCTTCGATTCTGCCAGTGGTCCTTTGCTAATGGACATATTCAGGGATAGGCCCTTCTCTCTTATCTCTTTGAATTAGATACTAATATTAATATCTGTATCAACTTCATTCATGCAACTTACTCCTAACTAGGTAAAATACTAAGATGCTCCCCATATTTTTACAGCACCAGAGAGTTAAACCATGACTTACAAGAAAGTATCTAGTCTTAGTTTTAAAAATGCCCTGACTTGGGGCAGCGATGTGGTGCAGTAGATAGAGAACCAGCCCTGGAGTCAGGAGGACCTGAGTTTAAATCTGGCCCCAGATACTTGGCACTTA